AATCATATCCCTGGGGGTTTGGGCCTAGGAATGGGCGTTCGATTGTACCCCCTTCCCCTTCCAGTCTCTACCCCTAATATGCTGGTGCACAATTGTATTGAGGAACCAGCAGCATGAGTATTTTGATATAATGGGGTAAAAAAGAAAAGTTTGATTAACCTACTATAATTTTTAAATTAAAATTATTGGGGTGACATCGGTTAATAAAATTATATAGGTTTCAAGTGTACAATTCTACGATACATCATCTGTATATCGCATTGTGTGCCCACCACCCACAGTCAACTTTCCTTCTGTAACCATGTATTTGTCCCCCTTTACCCTTCCCTACCCCCCACCCCTCTTTCCCTCTGGGAACCACTGTATTGTTGTCTGTGTCTATGAGTTTTTGTGTGTCTGTTTGTTCATTTGTTGCTTTCAGTTTTAAATCTTACATATAAGTAAAATATATGGTTCTTGACTTTTTCTGTCTGACTTGTTTTGCTTAACATGATATTCTCAAGAGCCATCCGTGCTGCCACAAACGACGGTATTTCATCTTTTCTTATGGCTCACTGTAACTTTTAATTCTTTATATTTCAAAACATTCAAATAGCATCTTTCTTCCTTAGAAGTGGACACCAGTTGCTTTCATAACAATCATTGCTTGCACCTGCCGTGGCTACAGATCCTGCTTCTGCCACTGGGTACCTGTTCATGTGTCCTCTTACAAACTTCAGACATGTTTATTTAATGTCTAGTGTGCAAAGCACTGTGTGAGCTCCGCGAGGAGGGTGGGGATGCACAGATAATAAAACGCGGCTCCTGCTCTCCCTGTGGCTTAGGGCCTAGGAGGGACCAGGCGCAGACGGACATGGCAGTGGGTGTGATGATGGGAGCAAGTGCAGATGGGGCTCAGTGAGGAAATGTCGGTCTCACGTGTCTACTTGGGGAGGACTTGGAGCTACAACGAGCAAACCCCAAAGTGCTCCATGTCCGGGGAAAATGAAAACTCTGGGTAGAAAGCACCCTTTAGATCCCATCTCAGGAGGTAGAGGCCAGAATTCAGAGCTCTCTCCTGGAGAGCCTGGCATGCTGCCTCACATCATAGTGCAGCTTGGTCCAGACATTGCTGCCTCTCCTCCCAAATACCTTGGGAGCTTTTGAAAATTTCCTCCCCTCCCAAGTGAAGCCAGTTGACTTCATGCGGCTGAGATGTGTACATTCCTACTGTGTCTCTCATAGGTCCTGTCAACAGGTAGAGCTGCTGCTTATGAGAGGAAGGAGTCCTTCTGATATTCCACCTGGTAATTCCACCATCCGCGTTACATGGGTACGTTTACTCTCGGATTAAACACAACAGCACGGCCTTTAATACGGAGCACAGGGTACTTGTTATGAGCACTGCCTGGATTTAGACATGGAACCTGCTTTCCCCATTATCGACCTGGGAGAAGTTACCCACTAGCCCTGTGCCTCTGTGGTTATTTCCTTTTTATGTATAAAATGGAATACAAATAGAATGTATGTAAAATGGTTATTGCAAATCAGGTAGTAAAAGGTCTTACATCACTTTTAAAAATGTGCACACAAGGCGCTGGAGGCTCCACTTCCCCTGTTTGGAAACAAGGGGTTTGGACTTGGTGATGGCCAGGTTTCCTTCAGTGCTGAATGTGGGCTCCTCCTTGACCCGCTGTGGTTGCATGACGGAGCCAGGCGGAGATCAAGGCCTCCGCTGAGTCAGCATGTGGGCGGGTGGTGAGGAGGCGGGGAGGAGGGAGAAAGGGTCCGGCCCGTTCCCGCCTGTACCTCCCTCCTGGGGCGGGGATCCTCCTGGAAGGGCTCCAGCCCACCAGCCAGCACCGCCTCCAACTCCTGTTCTCCTCGGCTCGTTTCGGGAGGGGTTGGGGCTGGTTGCTGTCTCTGGTGTGACCCCAGCTTCTGCTGGGCTACTTTGAGCTCCTAGACCTCATGGAAGGACGCTCTGGAATTTCTACTTCTAAAGAGACATAACTTTTTTCTTAGAAGTAATTTAATAGCCCTTTATTAGCTACTAAAATAGCAGGTATCTGCTGAACACCACAGGTAGTAATTGACTGCAACTGGAGATTTTTTATGCAAAGGCTCAATTGTAGCAGATGGCTTTTTGAAAGTAATTTGTCAAGAAACAGAACTTTCTAATCATAAGAAATAATATATGGTGACTGTAGAAAATCTGAAGTACACAAGGCACTACAGAAAATAAAATAAAATCACTTTTAATTTCACCAGCCAGAAGTAACCATTGTTAAAATTATTTTATGCGTTTTCCTTAAGTCTTCTAAGTATACAAACACACATGCAATTTTTTAATGCAAAATCAAGAAACCCTTACGTGCAGTACAGCAAGAAACAGAAGTCTCCAAATATATATATATACATTTATATATTCTTAACCTGCTGGGACACAACTAATCTTGTGAGCATTGCTCTTTCCTTATTGTTTGTTTAGTTGTCTTGTTTTTTATTCTCCCCTTAAGTTTGTTTGTTAGTAGAAAATTACATGTAAGTTATTTTCCATAACAGGTTATCATTTACTATAAAATTTCTTCTAGACAGAATGTTGGGCTTCGTAAACACTAAAAGTCGGTGAGACCAGGAGCATGATGGCACGTTAGGCCGCTGGATTCTTGAAATGGATGTAGTTAGGGTGAAGGGTTATAAATCTGAGGTTTTGAAAACATTGAAGCTAAGGGAAAGTGGCCTTATCTTTCCTGACTCAGTTTCTCCACCTGTGAGAAGGCGATACTAGCTCTCAGCGACCAGATGGGAGCCTCTATTGTATGATTTCTGTGAATTGCTGGACATGTGCAAGGGTCTCGTTATGCGTGGCTGTGTGGGGAGGTGCTCACACTTATCAGTTGGATAAAACACTGGGTTATTTGTAGGTACCTGGGGAGGGTGCTCAAGAATTTGGGGCTGAAATTTATCTTCTTGGAGAAAAAGAGCGAGAGAGTGAGAGAGGATCGGGACGATTCTGAGCATGCTGTGACAAAGCTCCTCTGAGTCGTGCCTGGGAGGGGCTGGGTGTGTCAAGCCATTCCTCACCCCAATGCTGAATAATTAAGTCACAAGGTTTGCAACGTTTCAACCTATGGGTAAGAAAAAGCCCCAATAGAGCAGTCTCCTAGGTTATTAAATATTTAGGTAGATGATTACTTTTGTTGAACTAGAGGAAATTATTGTTTGATAAATTTGTATGACAAATGAATGGCTAATTCATTCTTTAAGCTATATGTCTTCCCTTCAAAAAAAATCATCTGCTCTTTTTAATATACATTTAATAACATGGGTTTTGTGGCAAATAAAAAAGAAGAAAATTACGGATTATTTTTGGAGTTGGAGAGCAAATGCTTCTTCCTACCAACAGATATATATCATTCCCTACTAAATATTTTTAAAGAAATTTATTTCCAACAGTCGGAGTTATGTTTGGGCTTCCTTGGGCATTGCTGACTTCCTGTTGCTGGAGGTGTTTCTGTCCGGGTGAGACAAGCACTGGACAGGAGTGTGACAGAGGGAACTCAGCCATCAAAGGGGAAAATGGACAAAGCTCTCTGAAATAAGTGCAATTCTCTTAAAATCTTTGGCTCACAATAGCAAGCAGGCAGCAGGTGTTCAATAAGTGATTTAGTGACTTAGACGTGAATATCCTGCACCAGCCTTTTGGCTGTTTTGACATTTCCTGAGGCTGTGCCTATCCGAGGCATAGTCAGCATGGCGGTAATTACCCCATTCTCAGGGAACAGAGGCTACATGTCGGGCACTTACATGGACTGTCTCTTCATGCATATGTGTGTTTCATTTTACACACGAGCAAACTGAGGCTTGAAGGGATAAACACTTTGTCTAAGGATTATCAAGCGATGAGTGATAGAGTCGGTTTCCAGGTCTGTGATTTGTCCCCTAAACCCATGTTCCCCACTATAGCTGGATGGTGCAGTTTTTGAGAGGAATCCTGCCCACATCACTCTCTTATGACCTTCTTGCCTCCACTTGCTCCACTGATGCCTGAAATTCTACTTTTGGAGTTTAACTCATTTAGTTTATGACTTTGGTCCTGGTTGATAATAAAATACTCAGGGCCTGGATGGGGAAGGGGAGGGGAAAGCTGTTAGTCAGTCTTAGTTTAGCAAAATGAGTTGCCGTCATTCCTTTAGTTGACAAGCATTTATTGACTGCACACTATCAAGCCCATACCAAGTGCTGGTGTTTCAAAAACGAGTGAGGCTTGGCCTCTGCCTTTAAGATTCTTGTAGTCGGATAGAGGAGATTGTACAATAAGTAGATTGTCATGAAACAATGTGGTAAATGAACAATATTAGGTGAGCACGGCAGAGAGGGAACTGGCCCGGTTTGAGGTCCTTTCCTGAGCAGACTGGGTAGGATTGAAGAAGGAGGTGCCACCGAGCCATGGAGCTTCAGGAAGTCAGGACAACTGGCATCTGAGCAAAGAGCCGGCTCCCCAGGGAGGTTTCAGGGCAGAGCTGTGTAAACCAAATCACCATATTTTATTGGTAACCCCATCAACCAATTTCTCTTATCATTTTGATATTACATATTTTGCTACGTATGATTCAGTTAACTGACATGTTCTCTTTCTTTTGCGACCCCTTTTTTGTTTAATAGGGAGCTAACAGAACGAGCCACCGAAGTTCACGTGGGGAGGACGGAGGGCGGGGTGCTCTTTGTAGCATGACCATATTTGGGGCGTATGAATTATTTGCGGCCATCACATACGCCTTCGGTTTCATAGACTATCGCCTTCTGCGCCCGCGTGGGTTGCTCGGGTTGCCCTTATGTGTGTGTGTATTAAGCTCAAGGCAGGCTGATTGCAGCCGCTTCCTGCCCGAGCCTGTCCGAGGCCTCTGGAAGCTTGCGGGCAGCCGCAGCTCCAGCCCGAATCATTCCTTCAATCGTGGAGAAGCTGCCAGGAGACATGAGTAAGAGCTGAGCGTGCAGAGTGGGCGGGCTGAGTGCGGCTGGGCGAGGCTGCGGAGGGGCCGGGCCAGGGCCAGGTGAGCAGGGCGGCCCGCTGGCCGGAGTTACTTCTACAGCGAGGTCTTCTGAGCCTCGCTTTCCTTTCCCCTTGCCAAGCGTTCCCCAGGCTAACTGTACCTCCAGGTAAGCAAAGGGGGGGGGGCAGGGCTGGGGAGCTCCATTTTCAGGGCAATTCTTAAAACAAAAGAGGTGCCTGAGCTGATTCGAGATGGTGAACAAAGTTGATATAATGGATTATTTTCAAGGATAGGCTGTGGGCTTCGGGACGGTTGCCCATCACCCCCCACATGGGCAGCATTTCTGGCTCTCGGTCCTTTGGGAACCAGGAGGCCATGTAGGGAGAGAAATCACAGCCACACAAGGTAAGACTATGAAGAAATAACACGCCTGGGAGGCTGTGGTGGTGGTGGTGGGGGCACAGCAGTGATTGACGGAGGAGAAAGGATTTCTGAGCACACTTTTAGCCCAGTCTTGGAATTAAGAATGCACTTTGCAATGCTTATTTCAGAAAGGGCCTGGTACTCAAGACCTGGAGAAAGTGGAAATGCATTTGAGTGTCTGGGTCACCTTCTTGGCTGGCTTTGTGTGGTTGAGATTCAGACTTCAAAACTGTTCTTCTTTTTGGCATTTTTAAGCAGCTAGTCAGTGTTGATTTACTTGAAACTGCATTCTTCTAGGCAGAAAGTATTCCCTCTCCCTCTTTCTGGGTTCCAGGATACTTAAAACAGGTTACAGGTTTCAAATAGGTGTTCTTGGGCAACTTTTCAAACAGATTGGCTCATGGTTTCTTTTTTATAGTTGCTACTGTTTTTATGGTTTCATTTAAGTGTGTCGTACTGAAGATCTGCTTAACATGCCAGGCTGTTCTGTAGACTCGATTCAGAGCCGAGGCGTGTTAGATGTATTTCATCTCAGCCCTCATTCTGTAGATGAAGAGCAGTGGCTCACAGGGGTGCCGAAGTGGTGTTCTAAGTGCCACAGCTTCTAAGTGGCAAGATCAGTAGAATTTGCACCTTCCAGCTCACAGCTTGTGGACGTTTCCGTGACACCACCATGGGTCACCCCCTTGGTGACCCCCTACAGCCTTAACAGCCTTGTCACCCCCTACATCACTCAAAAGGCTTTGAATAGAATTAGGTGGGCCTCAAGCCTCAGTCCCCACCAGTAGGTGCAAGGATTGGCTGGGCTGCTTGATGGGTGGAGAGAGGGACGCCCGCCTGAAGAAAGGATTCTCCGCAGAAAATGACTCAGCAGGTCATCATCGCTGCTTCCCAACGCTTTGAATTCTGCCACTTCAATCCCTCGGAGTTGTCGGCTGACTTTGAGGGTTGCAGCCTCAGCGATTTTGGTCACACTGGCGTGCCCATTCTGGCTCTAGCTTGCTGTTGGGCAGCAGGGGGATGGCTCAGGGGTCAAGATCAGGCTCTGAACAAACAGGAGCAGGTAGGATGTCTCAGGATATTGGAGCAAACAGAGGCTCTCTTGCCATCGAAAATTAGGCACTGGCCTTATTACTGATAGCAGCGTTGTCCTTTGCTGCTAACAGACGTCTCCTCGTGTATGTTTACTCCTTTCGTCTCTTCATTTAATCCTGACATTCTTTCACACTGTACAAGCCGCCAGCTTTCTTATTTTCCTAATGTGTCTGTTTGTTCCCCTCTTGAAGTTAGACGATGGAGAGCAGAGGCTGTATTTTCAAGCGTTCTGTTAATTATTCTAATAAGTGAGGCTTCGCAAGGCCATTGCCTAAGGACTGACTACACCAAATACTCAAGATTTTTTCTCCCAGTTTTCTTCATCTGTCGTAGGAGGCAAGTTAGGATGAATGATAACCACAATCCTGACTCTGAACAGGATTTTAAGGAATGAGAAAACTGCACCTGGCCCTGCGTGTGCGTGCATGTACCCGTGTATGGGAGAGCGTGGTGGATGGCCTGGAGGTCGGCCGAACAGATATTGTTCAAAACACAACATGACTGAGAATGAAAGGGGCATGTCAGGACAGCAAACACCCACCAGGACTGTCCCAGGCAAAGCGGGACACGTGGTCAACCTGCCCCTAGGGTGTTATCTCACCCAAATGGTCTACAGACAACACACTTCAGGGCCGTTGGCTTAGATGCATTAAAGACTTTGGAAAGCTTTACGCAGGGACCGGTGGCCAGGGGCAGCTGTAAGTCCAGAGAAGCGAGCACATGGTGCTGCTCACGCCCCGCCATTCATTTGGGCCTGCTCGCAGCCTCTGAGGCACGCCTGGTCTTTTTGGTCCACGTTGTTTGCATAGCTAACTCCTACTTGTCTTTAGGACTCACCTTTAGTGGGACTTACCTAGATGTCACTGTCTCTGAGGAGACCTCGCTGAGATTTCTACTATAAGTGAGCTCTCTCTCCAAAGGGTCCTCATGGCAACTTGTGCCCCCCGTGAAAATGCCCACGGCCCATTACCCTCATTGTGCCCCTAGGCCGGCAGCTCCTTGGAGGCGGGGCTCATGCTGGGTTCACCTTTGATTCCTTGACACTTAGCTCAGTGCCTGACACGCATTCGGTACTCAGTTTCTGCTTCTGAAATGCAAGCAATATAGCTTTAATAATTGGCAACCTAAACGGCAGAAAGAGAACAAGAGGTTCTTCAAGGGGGAAAATTAGAAAAAAGTTTGTGTCGATTAAAAAAACATGCAAAGTATCTTGATATCTCTAGAGAGGTATATTCAGGACACGTAGGAGTTTGGGGACCCTAAAGACTTGACAGAGAAAAAATGTCAGCAAAGACACAGTTGCCGAGGACGGGGGTGAGGTGTGGTTGGACACCGCAGGCTGGGCGCCGGGACAGGTGAAGCCGGGGCCGGTTTTACAGCTGGCTCCCGGCGTGGGTGGCCCAGAGAATGACGCCATCTCTGTCTGCTTCACTTTCCTCCTCTGTAAAAATGAAGACATGGAGCCAGACTGTATCCACGCCAAGATCTTGGCCCACTTGAAAGGTTTATGATTTTAGGACATATTGCAAAAAAACAGGCAACTTCGTGATAAATTCTTACAGCTCTTCGTTGTTCATTTGTTGCATCTGTATTACTACTTAAATTCCCATCTCACTCTTCGCTGGTTAAAAGAAGTGCCTTTTAAACTTCTAAGTGACAGAAACATGCAGTGTTGTCTACATTGGAGCTGTAAACAAAATTCTCTTTATTTGTTATCATCGTTTGAAGGTTTTCATGAAGATCAAAGAAGCTATCTTTGTAACAAAGTGCTGATGAAATGAAGAGAATCTATGGTGGTTTTAGCACTCTGAACAGAAGTCGTTAGACATGTAAACTTACTCTGCGGGTTTTGCTCATCTCTACCCCTGTACCCATAATTTTTATGGCATTTGTTACTGAAATGGTCCATGTAGAAACCTGATGTTTTTTCCTGTATGTGTTGCTCACATTGCTAAGATCTGTTTAAACGCTTTGACTACCTTACAGCATAGGGAGGTGGCCACTGACTGTGGCCCAAGTCATCCCTTTAACTACCTATCCTAGCCTAGATCAGCTCTGCAATGTTTTGGGGTCACTTGGGACCAATGACTGGACAACTGATCAGATTTATCAGGCAATATCTGATTGATGACTTAGCTGGAGATTGTTTGCTCCTACAGCAATTTCCACATCCAGACCCTTTCTGATACCTTTGCCAAGCATCAAACTATGCAGTTGTTGCTGGGATCTCAGCTATTAAGAGCTGCATGACCTTCCTCAATCTGAAGGAGAATTTTCTGAGAAAGGAGATAGTCAGTATATGGATGGGAGGCAGGCCCGTTGGACTCATGCACTGAGGACTCTTGTGCAAAGGAAGGGGCTCTGGAAGGAGGGTCTGCACCCATGGGAAAGCCCCAGATATCAGGTGTGTGCCGATTGGCATTCTCCAACAGGGGCCTGGTTTAAGCCTTGAACTGCAACACAGTGTTAACTATGTTGTGTAATTAACTGTACTAAAAGCCACCAGGAGCTTGTACTCAGAGCTACTTAGACTCAGAGTATCTCCGAATGTTATAATGAATGATAGGATAATGCTTCGGTGGAAAAAAATGCTAACAGGAACATTTCCTTACCTTTGACACACTTTGAGGGGTTTGCTGTCAAAGTCCCTCAGCAGATTACTCTGAGGTCTTAAGCACAGGTTTTCTACACAAAGGAAGGCAAACTTTACAAGTAAAGTTATGGATTATGCAAAATTATTCGAATTGCCCTTCTTGGAGGGTAGTAAATGCATTCTGGGAAGAACTCCTTGTGTTTGTTCAAGCACAGTTGGCATGTTTTCATATTATTATTAATGTGATTAGGCCTCAAGTTCTTGAAGCTTTGAGAAGTTTGCAGGGATCTAGGCTGAGACTTCTCTATTTGGTGAAAAAACAGCTCATTCAGGCTTCTCAACTTGGTGGAGAAATTGAATTTTTGTTGTAGACAGACTCAGCATTATCAGTGTTAAATCTGCTGTTGGAGAAAGGGCTCCCCAAATCTTTTGTGAACTTTCTTTTTATTTCCTTGTGGTGGACACACTGGTCCAAACACTCTGCATGCTCCCATTTTGGTCTCACCTAGTGTTGGTCCCTGCAACTGGGGGTGTGCAGTCATCCCTTGGCCCCTGACCCCTCCCCAGAAGAGAGAATAAGCTTGTGGCCTTAAAAGAGTGTGAGATGCCCTCCCTGCTTTCAGATTACCTTGGAATAGGTTTGTGATGAGAAGACTGACCTGAGTTCACTGAGCTGAGTTTGTCAGGGACATAAAGTGAAGAAGGAAGAAGTCATTGGAGGTGACCAGTGAGCATGAACAGGTCGAGAAAACATTTTTGTTAATAAACTTGCTTTTTCAGACTCTAGGATATAATCTTATGAGTCCATTCATATGTCCCTTAAGAGAAAGAATTCTGAAGAAATATTTGAAGATGAGGGGCCCATTCCTTGATCTTAATCTCATGTCTTTACATCTTGAATTTCTGTTCACGTGTAAGGTGCAAAATTGAGATCCTATCCATGCATTCGATTCTATTGCATCCTTGGGTCCTACTGAAGGAAGCCCTCTGTCCTGAGTGGTGTGGCTTTGTCTGATGCCAGGGAGCATGTTCCACCTGACGACCTTCAGTGTCATGCTCCCTCTCCAATGTCATGTTCACTCTCTGGCCTGTGCACATGACTGCGCAGTGTCTGGCTGCTTTGGGGGAAAGCCGCAAGCCTTCATCTATGCACTAGTCACTCAGGGGTGCTAATGTCAATCTATGTTCCTCAGAAACGTGCTGTCCTGGGGTCAGGCAGAGCCTGGTGAGTCCGTGTAGCTCAGCTCTGCTTCTAGAAAGAGCTGTGCCCTGACTGCTCGGTTTATCCCAGCACCTTCAGACTTGATCAGTACCTACAGCACTAGATAAGTAGAACTTCCACTAGAAAAGCAGTTCTCAAACTTGTAAACCTCAGGGCCCTTTTACACTCTTCAAATTATGGAGGATCTATTTTTTCTTTCTTTCTTTTTTTTTTAAAATATCAGTAATATCTATCAGTATTTACCAAATTAGAAATTAAAACTGGAAAAAAAATGTGAAATATTTATTTACTAATTTGTTAAAATGATAATGTTACCATTACATATTAGTAAATATTTATTTACTGGTTCATTACAATAATAATGTCATCGTTACATATAAATACAGATAACATTTTTATGAAAAAATAACTGTTTTCTAAAGTAAAAAGGTGTAGAGACAAGAGTAGCACTTTTTCATTTCTGCACATCTCTTTAACGTTTGGCTTAATAGAAGACACGTTGTATGGCCTCTGGGAAACTCTTCGGGATATCTGTGAGAGATTGAGAGTGAAAAGGCAAATAGTGTGTAAGTATTATTATGAAAATAGTTTTGACCTCATGGATCCACTGAAAGTGTCGCAAGGGGGTCAAGGGCCACCACTTAGAGGCCCTCAGACTTATAATAAGAGAGTTCAGACAAGACCAAAGCCACTCACCGCTCTTTCCACTTAACCGGGTTCCTTTTTACCTGAAGCTACTCTCTCTTTCTTTTAACTCCACAGTACTTGTTACACTGAGCATATGGCATTGGACAGCTGTGCATTTTACTAATATTCTACGTATCTGCCCAAGATATTGCAAACTCGGAGAAGTAGGGACTCGGTGCATTCTTATAATACTATGCACAGGGTCTTCCCAAGTGCATTAACATCAAAAAACAATAACAGCTTCTGTGTATTAAGTATTGCTATGTGCTGGGTGCCCTAAGAAGGCATTACTGACTGTCCTGGCCTCTTGGGGCTGCCCTAACAAAGTAACACAAACCAGGCCACTTAAACAATAGAAATGGGCTCTCCCGCAGCCCTGGAGGCCAGAAGTCTGAAATCGAGGTCCCGCAGGGCCATGCTCCCCCTGCAAGCCCCAGAGGAGACTTGGTTCCTTGCTTCTCTCTTAGCTCCAACATCACCAGTGATCCTTGGTGTTCCTTGACTTGTAGAAGCATCACTCCAATCTCTGCCTGTCGCCACATGGCCTCTCGCTCTGTGTCTTCCTGTCATCTTCCCTCTGGTCATGTCTGTCTCTGTCTGTCCTCCTGTTCTTTCTGATGAGGACACCAGACATATTGGGTTAGGGCCACCCTGCTGACCTCAACTTGATTAAATCTACAAAGACTCTATTTTCAAATAAGGGCACATTCACTAGTAGCCAGGGGTGGGACTTCAATATATCTTTTTAGGGGACACAAGTTCAACCCATAACACTACTAATTATTAAACTGAAGCACGTAAGATTGCTGTGATTTGACTATTTTTTGATGCACAAAAACTTCAATTTTATATGCTTTAACCTAAATCCTAATGGAAAGAGTGTGGATAAATGAAGCCAACTGATTCTGATCAGTATTGTCAACTGTTCTGACCACTTGCTGAGGAAGAGGTGTGATCACCAGGCTCCTGACAACGGCCACTGTGGCCGAGTAGGCCTGAATCTGAAGATTCTGGGCAGAGTTGCTCGCACAGAGGACCTCCCATGCTAGACCATTCAGACCTTAGGGCATTTGCCTGGAAATTTCTTCCCCACTGGCTTTTTAAATCTCATTTAGTGCAAAGTCCCTTCCTCTCTTCTACCCAAGACCATTATTTTGTTTAGGTGGAATTATTGCTGGGTCGGCAGAATGCAGGTAAGAAGACTTTAAAGACCCTTATTCTTTGTTCTAGGCCCACAATGGACGCCCTGCAACTGGCAAACTCAGCTTTTGCAGTTGACCTGTTCAAAAAACTGTGTGAGAAGGAGCCTGCCGGCAATGTGCTCTTCTCTCCAATCTGTCTCTCCACCTCCTTGTCACTTGTTCAAGTAGGAGCCAAAGGTGACACAGCCAATGAAATTGGACAGGTAAGCCCTACACCTTGTTTCTGCTTTGAGCTGCAATAGAGTTATTGGAACCCGTGGGCAGTGCCTACAGAAGAAAGAATGGGGCTCTGTGGTCAGAGCTGCTCAGGATTGAGAGTTGTGACACTTCTAACACTTTCTCAATCTATTTTTAAATGAAAGAAAGGTCATTTACCTGTCCTGCAACCCAGACACCATGTGTGATGGAGAATCTGGGGATCTGCTATTGATCACAGGTTTACCACTAATGAATAACTTTTGGCAAGTCACCTGACATCTTTCTATGTGTTATACTGTAAGAATCAATCAAGGTGGTATCTATGAAATGGTCCACTGCAAATACCCTGACCAGAAAGAATATAAATCTATATTCCTGTCTTATGCACAGAATTTATTATAGCATCAGCTTTATTAATTTTTTAAAAAAAATATATCTTTATTGATTTCAGAGAGAGGAAGAGAGAGGGAGAGAAAGATAGAAACATCAATGATGTGAGAGTCGTCATT